TAGTTAATTTACTTATTTTCGCACAACCACATATACATACAATATAACAATAATAACAATAAATTATTGAATATAATAACAGTAATACTCATGTTATTTTCAACATCAATCAGTTGATAAGAAATAATAAAAATCTTGCCGGATATTAACGACTAAGCAAGGAAATAAAAATTATTTGTAAAAACTTCTCATAACATATTTTTGAAGTTAAATATGAAATTATTTTTTTATAACACCGAATCACTGAATTGTGCATTGCGAGAAAGTAATTTAAATTGTCTATTTATAATGTATAAGAAGTTTGCATTTAAGTCGTCCCTTAGTGTGAGTCGGTATAACGGATTGATTAAAAAAACTTTGTTTACTTTGCATGTGATCCCCAAATCTCAAGATATCATAACCATGCTCTCTTCTACTGCGTGGGCAGAATATCCTTCATCTTTTTCAATTCACTTTAATCTCCGAAGGAAAGTGAATTGGTTAGAAAAAATCTATTTACTTTGCACGTGATCTTTGGCATCTCCAGAAACCATAACCATGCTCTTTTCTACTGCCCGCGCAGTCTTTACCTTATTAGAAGGTCTTTCATCTTATTCAATCCGCTTTAATCTGTGAATTAAAATTGTATAATAATCTGTGGTAAAAGTCTAGCTGGTACTACTTCAATCCTGATGGCGCGAGTCCTAGAACTGTTGAAACGATTGTATTTTTGTTCTAAGATCAAATAACATGACACCATATATACGGAAAGCTTTCTGCTACCTAAAACTTAGTGGAATATATTTCAAATAATGTTAATTGACACACTCAAAACCTATCTACCTATCTCACAATCTATTTTCAATAGGATTTCATAAGCAACACTCGTACGACCATGTTATTACCTAAGTATATGATGGAATCTTGAATGTATATCTAAAAATTTAAATTTAAGTGTGAGTAGAATGTCCGGATTTATGCAATACCGATTTTATCGCTTGATAAAAATTTTACTAATAGCATAAATAATCTCAAAAGAATAACAGAATTCAAAAGCACTTACATCTATAAACTTTAATGTTAAAAATTAACATTAATTAAATTTAACATTACTTTTAAAAATCGCAATAATTTCGAATATTATTAAAGACGTAATATAAGTATATATTTTATTTACGATACCTACTAATCCAGTTCACACATATTTTTCTTTATAAAATCGCAAAAAAATATATTAATCAAATTAGTGTTTATTAATTTGTAAAACCGACGCACTTGCCTAAAATTAATAAATTTATTAAAGTGATAAGAAATAATCTAAATTAATGTATGAGTACGAGGAAAGCAGAACGTAAAGTATAAACATAAAGCCGGATATAAATACATATATTCAGTATTAATTAACTTCACTTAAAACGGAAAAAAATGTGAAAACCATAATTTACTACTCAATGAAATAACAGAATTCCATAAATTCTGTTATTTATTAACAAATCGCACCTATCGAAATTATAGTTTATATTCCATAAATAAAAAAATCTATCATTAGTTTCAATTTAGTTTAATATTAATTTTAATACTACTATACTTTGGTTTATGAACCAAAATAGTAAAATTATAATTATATTAAAATAAAAATATAAAGCTGATCCGATAGTCTGAATTTTCGGTAATTCGATTCTCTTGTAACCACAGAAAATTAATTCCAAATTTGTGTAATACACATGATATACCTTATAGTCCTTATCGACTACTGCTTCGCTAATCCGGTTCAGTTGTTATAGACATTTCTACATTTCTGCTCGTTAACGTAGTGAAATAAATCATAATTATTAGTTACGGGCATACATGTAGGTATATTTTATTCGCCTATATGCTTTGTAGGCTATTTACTTATACACTTTATCATATATAATGTGAATGTGTCATTTTATTTATGAGTTAACTTAATGGACAACAGATTATTGTTCAGTTTTAATTAAATTTCTGTTAATATGAATATATTTGCATATATAGAAATTTTCTTGGTTTTTTAATATGATTCCCAAGATCCGAAAGTTTTAGTAATCCAGATTGATCAAAATTTTAATGAATCCGGATTAGCGGAGTACTAGTTTGTGTGTTTATATAGGAAAAATTTCTAAAACTGAAAAAATATTAAGACTGTAAATAAGTTCCATTTTGGGGGCAACTCGTAATATTGGTAGTTACGAAAAAATTGAATAAAAGAATATAAATAAATATGAATACTTAAAGGCTGTTGAAGTAAGGTTATGGTGCAGAAGTATAACTTGTCCGTGGTTTAAAATAAGTTAAACACGAGGTAAGTAGGACTTAATTACGCATATTTGCAAATCAAGACCTTTTTTAGCTATAACTGAAAAAATGTTTGCAAATTATAAATGATATATTCTTTCAGATAGTTTTTTTTTTAAAGTACATGTTGATAATTTTTGTTTTTTAACAATAAGACCAGTACAGCAAAGAATACAATAGTTATTAATAATTCACAATAAATTTATTTTTTAATCTTAAATATGAAAATTCATTTTAGCATAAGGAAAGGTCATTAATTTTTAAACCTTTGTTTATCAAATACTGTCAATAAGCCAACTAAATTCACTAAATATGTTCTCGCGTATCTAATTGTCTTTAGTAGGTTGTTAATGCTCAATATCTTAAAAACTAAACTACATTGACATATAGCTTAGTAAAAAAAAATTCATCAGAATAGTTGACTTTTCTAAGAATCGCTGTCAAATACCTGATACCCATATTAATCCAATTAAAGTTATAAAGTAAAATTCTTCGGGGGAACTGAAGGTTATACTGAAAACTTCACATAGTATGTGTTTTGAAACCTGAAAAAAATATTGACCTTTGCACGATGCAATAAATGGGACCTGATTTCAATGTGACAAATAAATATTAACAAAATAAATCAAAATTTTTTTCATTTTCTGTACTTTTTGTGACATTTATTAGTACATTAATTGTATAAACTTTTTGAAATATTTATGAAGATTCCCCCGTTTTTTTAATTTTAAACAATTTAAAAATATCATGCTTAGTTTTATTTCTTTTCATTTTTATTTTATTATTTTCACGAAAATAAACTTCTTTCATACTTACATTATATAGAAGTAACTATCCATGTCCTTTTGCTTAACCTCATTTTGATTTGTTATTTTAGTATCAGGATGTTCATTAGACCCATTGGCAATGCTACCATTGCCAATTGTGTTTATTCCCGAAAAAGCTCCTAAACGATTTTGTTGATTATTTGAGTGCCCGGCATCTTTGCTGAAAGAGGCGAAAAATGTACGTACGCTATCCATGTTGATATCAAATTTATTTGCTTGACGAGCCCCCGCGCTTTCTTATCTAAAAATAAATTTGAACAAAACCAAAATTAAATTTATTTAAATTTAGTATTTCAATCTTTAAATCGTGTTTGCAAAAATAGAAATAAATTAAAAAGAAAAAAAAATTTTTATATTTTTAGTTGCTAGGAAATTTAAAAAAATGAATTTGCAAAATGTTAATTATGATAATTTTTATTATAATATGTGGTGTGATCTTAAATGGAATAAATTAATATTTTTAAAAATTGTTTAACACAAATCTTTTTTAAAATTTAAAATAATTTGTTTACATTATTACATAGGTCAACAAAAACCAAGTGGATCAACTTAAAAACATCCTCTCAGACATATTCTTATCAGAGAACTCGCCCGAGATAGATTCAATAATAGTTCTTTTGCGTCATCATACATACAAAAGATAAATTTTCAATAATTTTTTTTTATTATTTATTTTACTTAGTACATATAAACAGCACAAAGAACTCGGTGAGTTCTTTGTTGAATATTTAACGAAAGTACTTTTGACTTGAATACATTATGATAGTCTTTATGAATTTCTTTATATACTTTATATTGAGTATCTTTAATGTATAAATGTATATATGGGAAGTTATTAAATTATGCTGTATAAATTAATTTATATATTTTTATAATTCTTTATAATTTATGTTCAATTTCGTTCAAATATTTCAGTTGAAGGATGGCACAGATCTTATAGCTTGAAAAATATTAATAATTTATACTTAAAAAAATAACTATTTATTAAAGAAGTACTTCAATATTTTCTTTATATAAATAATAACTATTTTTAAGGTGAAACCCAAATTCAAAAATACTTTTAATATTTCACTAAAATATTAAGTAAAACCGACAGACGTACTGTCAAAATTTTATGACATTTTAAGAAATGTCAAGAAGTGAAGTTATTGATAGAACATCACCTTCCTCACATATGAAATTGCAATATATAGTACATACATTAAATAAAAATACCTAGTGTATTTTAGATAGTCGATCTCTTGTAGTCATGTTGATGTAGTAGTCGGTATAATGAACCTGTTTGTTGTGACCCCGAAGAGCAACATTAAGTTATCTATAAAGACGAGTAGCTCTAAGACGTAGACCCATAGCTACTGGAATCAAACTATAGCACAAGTTCAATCAAATTATTTCAAAAGTAGACTTCATATACTCTGATTTACATATACTATTTACATATATACTATGTATAGTTGAATTTATTTAAACTAATTCGTCATGACGTGTCGATCTAGAATATAATATATACAATTTCGACATTCTTTTTAGTAAATAATCAATTTCAAACCTTTGATTCATAAAAGAATATAAAAAAAAACTGAAAAATATAATTCTGAATAAATCAATTAAGGAAATGTGGTACATAGATCGATGAAGAGCAGTTTTTTCTTACGACATTGTAAAATGTCGAATGGCTAAGATCTATCAATTGCAAATATATAAGGTAAAAATAAATTCGAATACTATATTTATTTAATAATGAAATTTTTTATTTTATTATACGCATTTTTAAAGGTTATAATATCAAATTTACATAGGTTTGCACAGAATATCCAAAATAACACAAATTAATAAATCTTAATTAATAAATAATTAAGACACATTTAATTACTCATTTTAATTATCTGATTTTTGTTTAATGTCATCATCCTCTTCTTGATCTTTACTGTTTTCATGAAGAAGAACATATTCACGAGTACTAAATCCAAATTTAATTACATCTTTCTCCATTAACTCATAGTATTTACGTGATTCAATTTTTTTATTGTTTAGAAATGTCCCATTTGCAGATTCCAAATCAATGAGATAAGGTCGTACACGTTTTCCTTTTGTACCATCTTCACGTTCATATTGTACAAGTCTGTACTGCAAAGCAGCATGTTGCTTTGAACAACTTGGATGATCCAGAATTAAATCGCCTACATTTCGATCACGACCAACAAGGAAGCAACTTTGCCGATGTATATGCAATATTGGAAGTGCTTTTTCACCTTTAAAAGGATATAGACGCCACATTCGTTTTGGTTTTCGTGCTTCTGGTGGTTCAGCATATTTCACAACAGTACCATTTACTTTATTTGCATCTTCAGTGAGAGCTCCGCTTAGTCCAAAATTGGGCTTTTCTTTTTCAATTGGTTTAGTAGACGATTCATCAGTATTATTATTATTATTCAATTTCTTGCCCCATTCATAACTTTCATCATCATTATCTCGGTTATAACGTTTGTGTTTCTTTACATTTTTGGATGAATATTGTTCTGTATTCTGTTCTCGTAATGGAGCACGACTTTGACTACGTTTCCTTTTCTCATTCATAAGATTATTGTCATTATTTCTACGATAGTCACTGCGATCGTTACTACCTTTCGATTTATGCTGGTACTTTTCACTATCTCTTTTCTGTTCTCGGTTATTTTCCTGCTCTATTCTTCTGCTGCTGCGAATTTCATAACATTTGGCGCGATTACAACGATTTTCTAATTCATAGCTGTCTCTGCTAGACGATCTATCTCGATTTCTATATGAACGTTTCTTATGCCTATATTCTTTATATGAAGAATTTGAGGTTAAGTCTGATTGATACGATGAAGAATTTGAGGATAAGTTTGATTGATACGATGAACTTCTGCAAGACATTATGCGAGCCTCTTTGTTTGTTAAAGTGAAAACTATTTCTTTGTCTTTATATCTGATTCGAAGGACTCAATATGAACACTTTGAATATTTGTAAGATACTGAAGTTGGTAAACAATTTTTGACTTATTTATATTACTTTGCTGAAGACAAATTATATTATTTCTTAGAATTACAGATGAAAATCTATTGTTCATTATTGAACATTTGCAATGCATATTCTTCATAAAATAATAAAAAAAGGGTTAGGGAACATGAAGTTACCTGGAAAAACGCCTATACAAAGCTCGTTTATGTTTAATTAAAAAAAGTGGACAATTAAAGTATTTCTACCTGTTATGGAACTATTTTACTTTATTACTTCAGGTAAATAATAGGAAGATATATATATTATATATAAGTTCGTATTTTGATCGTTTAAAGTTACGGAATATACAGATACTTCTTAATAGGGAATATGTCAAATATTATTACCGCGTTCAAAATAATATGAAGAAGCGTTCATATAAAATATATTTATTAATTTTAAAGAGTATTTACGTAATTAACAACAAAAAATAAGTAGACTTGACATTTGATATAATACATTTAAACGACACCAAGGAATTTAGAGAATCTATTACAGTATTTACAATTGAAATTCTTACTACATAATTTATAACAAGAATTAAGTTAAGTCTAACTGAAGCATAGTGCGACTATTTGTATCGTATCTACTACTTACTACTACACATCACGGTCTCTATGTATGGTTGGAGCGTTCACACTCAGAGTTCTTGAATCCGTTATCCGTTAGTCTTGAATACTTTAATGCATATATTACACTACTTTTACGTTTTAAAACTACAATAAAACACTGATTTAAAATTAGATCAGTGATTAGATCAACACAATTAAGCGTTGTGTTTTTTTTATTCATATTTTATTAGATCTTTATAGTATTGCAGGGAATGTATATACAATAGTTTGTTGTTTTTATTAATATTTCATTCGGTCTTTATTGCATTGTAGGGAACGTATCCCCCAGAGGTTTAGCTATAGTTATACGCGCACATTCATCTTGGTCCATATAGCTCTTGTATTTTTCTACGCTTTTAAGATAGGCATATACAACTTTTAAAGCATATGACACTCTAATTAATATGTAATCCATGATCAACTCAAATATCATATCCGCTATTTATAACTTTGTCTATTTGTATGTACGTTTGTCCGACAGTAAAGTGTTTTTAAAATCATTTACAATGTATCATATTAAACGTACATAATTATCACATTCTGAGTCTTCAAATTTGGTGAATGGACTCCACTGAGTGCCTTGTCAATCTTTCAATATTGAACAGTCAATTACCAATACTAACAACATGGAAGATAACATGCAAATAATATATACTTATTTAAAATACGCAATTCATTAGAAAGTATGGAAATTGGTCTTAACAAATTGAATATTACCCAAAATATTAGGTTTACCCCCCTTGATTATAGAAAAGTTCACTTATATTATACTTGATTACAAGTGATTTGAATTGTTTATTTGATTTATATCAATTAAATCTGTGGACTATATATCAATAGTTTTTATTGAGGCACACTTATAAATGATTTCGAGAAAAAACCAAATTTTTTTATTGATACTTTATATATTTGTTATCTTCCATTGTATATACGAATATTTATAATTTTATCAGCTATGGTGTCATAAAAAACTGTTCAAGGTAGGCATTTAAGAAGGTTTTTTTTTTCATTAATATAAGTGAACTCAGATAAGAGACGTGTGAGTATATTAGCCCAGAAGACCACTTATAGCTTATCTCACATTTTGTTGACATTCTGCATAACTAACAATTAAATATATATATATATAAGTATAATGTTATATACTTAACATTGTTAATAATTCGGTTACCAATGCATACTTAAATTATAAATATATTTTGTGACGTATTTTTTCTATATTACTTAGAATTAAAATTATAAATTTTTTTTTGTATATAAAAATTGACTTAAGTATGTCGTTAAGTACATCTATGTATGTATGTGGTAAACCCGAATTGCGTTTTTATTTCTAAACAAATTACAAATGTTATCACGGGTTAGGGACCGGTTCAGAAGAGTTTAAATGCGGCGTCTAAATTATTTGAAGATAGTTACAACAAAAAAAATCAAAAGATTTAATAATGTATATGTGAATACTCGTACTGCAGCAGGTAAATTTACAAATATGTTTTTTTAGATCGCAATAAACTTGCTGTTGAACCTTCATGAAATAATTAATCAAGAATTTATTTTATTATATATTTCGTTCGTTACTTTTTAACTTGCAGGCAGCAGACCATCTATACAAATATGTCTTGAAGAGTTCAATGAAAATCTATAAAAAATGAAGGTCAATAATATACATAAAATATATATGTTTGTATATCATTTTTATTTACTTTGCTTCCGCTCTCCTTAATCTATTTTTAAAAATATTAACGAAGTTTGTTTTATTAATATGGAAAAATTAAACATAGTTTTTTTTTGATTACCTGTTATGTAGGTAATCAAAAGATTGATTTAATTGCATTACCTCTGTAATGTAGGGATTACTATGTATGGATTTATAATGTTTATAGAGGAATCAAAAGAAAATTAGTATCTAAGGATTTAAACAGTTAGAAACGAAAAATAAAGTGAACATAGATGTTGTTGTTTTTGTTGTAACCCGCCGGGACCTGCGGAGTCTCTTTGGGAGGTGTTAAACGGTACTTGGTCGTCGTAGGTGACGAGTGGCTTCGGGACGTAGACCCGACCGTTCTTGGAACCAAGTGAAAATAGTCATATAATTTACTAAAATAATTAATCCAGACATTAAACATGTCCTCATAACAAAGAGTATTTACTAGTTAATACGTCCATTCACAATGTGTGCCCTAACTGCAGCTCTTCTCCCCATGACGATCTATTTACATGTCCTTCTGCACACATAAATCTTCGTCAAATTAACCTTTGGACCCACCCCATTAAAGTGGCCAGGTTTCTCCGCCTGGAACCAGGATGACAGTTTATATATACCTCCTTCCCAACTCTTCCACATCCTTCTTTCCCCTCTCTCCTTCATTTAGCCCCCCTAACTTTCATCCTATTTCCCTACTCATGTAATCATCTTGTGTTTCCTTTCATGTTTATCTGCTTACAGTTTCCGGCGGGTTACAACAACAACAAAAACTAGTTAATAGAGTACATATATAATTACAAAAAAAAACACAATATTAAATTAATTTTAATTTAATTCATATCAATTACAATCACTATATACACGCATGGAGCCAGTGTTCAACTTAGCTCAAGTATGAATGGTTAGCTGTGACTTTGACAAGAAAGAATGAATGACTAATAATTGGAAATGGCTAAAAGGTCAGTATTATGAAATTTTTCTTATGCAGCAGTTCACACCAATCGAACGCGCTAAAGCCTAGGAAAATTTTTGGCAAACAATCAATATGCGTAATGAAATGCACTTTAGAATCGTACACAAATAAAATTGTACACCACGGAAGAGCTTCAAATTTTTGAAAAAAAAAACAATTTTTTCCTGTTTTACTTTTTTACTAGTTAAGACGGGTGATCTAGCAGCTTATTTGTTTGAGAAGTTCAAAGCAAAAAATGGATCCTCACCCCATTACACTGCATTGAACTAATGATGCTTCTTACTTTTTTATGCAGTACATAATATATTGAAGAGTATAAAAAACAAGTCTCTTATTTTTCTATAATTGTAGACCCCTGCAAATGAAAATAAGAACTTTAGAGACTACAAATAATAACTTTAATAACGAGTTATAAAATTACTTACTCACCCAAACCCAAATAATAATAAAAATAAATATGCAGATTTCAGGAAAATAAATAATTCTACCATTAGCTTATTTGGACCAATGCAGAGCTCTGCCTTATAAGAACAAAAGCGACTAAAGTGTGAGTAAATTCCGTTTATATGTAGTTGACACTATCATAACTAATCTCAATCATCTAATTTAGATACAGAAAAAAATAACGGAATGTAAGAAGGTAAAGGCACTGTTCATATTGATAACTAATTGGGTTGTTTATCCGCTAAACGATACTGTTGAGTCCAACTATTTATATATCTCAATAGGCAATATTTTAGGTCAGTGTGAATATAGAGCATGCCACATAACACTAGTTTGAGTATGATTATGTACTGCATACTGGTAGCGAGTAGTGTAGTGTAGTTTAGCGAATGATGGACAAGGGGGTTTAACATGCCACAAAAGCATCTCGCAGAAGGGTGCCAAACTTCCCCCTATATGAGTATATTCTATATGTCAGATTAATATATGTTAATTGCGGTAGCCAGTTGTGCTCGTAATGTCATTGATAGTTTAAAATGAGACTTTAAATCTAACAACTCAGTATTTAACTTGAGTCTTAATATTATATTCACAATTCATAATAATATATAAAGGTGCGTTATCCTATAATAAATATTAAATTTTTACTTTACTAACTTCGTTCCACATTTAATTTAAATAAAGGTCAACGATTTCAGAATTACATTTGCCCGTTTAAGAAAAGCAATGTTGTTTTTATATACATACATATGTACATAAACATTTTTGTATAAACAAAATTTATTTAAAATTTCCAGTTCTATCTGAACTAGGAACAGAAGGCTTGCCAAATATTTAAACTAGTTTCACTTTCAAATAAATGACTAGTTTTATTAAAAAAAAATAAACAAATTGTTGCATTCGTTATTAATTCGATTTTTGTGTGCCGAAAAACCTTGTGGTCTTTTTTAAAGTTTTACTTTATTATGGTACATAATATATAAACATGTGCATATATGTACGTATTGTCTGGTTTATAATACAAACAGTAGAAATAGTCATTGCAATGAATATATTATTCTTATATACATTATTGATTATATATTGTATATAAAAATATATACAAACATAAAATAATAATTGTGTGCACTCACGCACTTCAGTTGCACATCGCATATAAATTTAATTATTAAGATAG